ATAAAATTAAAAAACAAACAAACATAACTTATAAGAATATAACATTGGCTCTGCTTTGCATTGAGAAATCCATCTAATGATGGACATCTCAGTGCGAAGCGGAGCCAATGAACCTTTAGGTCCTTTGTAGTTCATTTGAGTTCATTACAGAATGAGAGAGGGAAAATACCCTCCTTTACTGGAGTATGACTTTAGCTTAAAGCCACATTGCCATGTGAAGACATTATGTTTCGGAAACATCATTCAGTTTTGTTTTGTTTTTCAAATATAGTATGATCATGAAATGCAGAAAAGAAAGAAAACAGGCCATACACAAAGAATTAGTACGCTCTCCTCCATCTCAGGAACATTTAAACCATTCATCTCTCTCTCACACACACACACATATACCCACATGCACATTTAACCTTGTTATGAAATTTTCGTATTTTTATTTATTTGTGTCAGTTATTAATGATACACACACGCACACCTACCTCAGTATTTTGTTCTTTGCTACTTGTGTGTATGTCACTGAAGGGTATTTCTGTTTATTTTTTACTAAATAATCAACTCGGCAAATGTTAACAGTTGCTTCAGAGCAGTGGTACAACTTCCACCCCATCGTCATCATATACTAACTTTTTACTTGTCTCTCATGATACTCTTGTGAGTGGGATAGCATATAATTTGTTGATAGAATGTCAAAATGTTTAGATATCCTTCTGTAAGCAAAATTGTAATATTTGTTGAAAAAAACAAAACAAACTTCCTCGTATTTCATGCTCAAAGTATTGCTATTCGATACTAACTTACGAGTTTCTGTGGTAACTTCTATTCAACTAAGGCCTATAAATACCTGGGACGTTTTTCTGAAAGAGTATATTAGTTATTATGATGGTAATGGTGAGGACCTGTGGGGTCGCCGATATCAAACTTCTTGTGCATGTGAGACGCCTCTTCCATACTTCAAATGCAGATTATTTCTTGTATTACTTTGTTTGAAGTTAAACACAAAACTACACAATGAACTATTTGTGCTTTGGCCACCACGAGTATCGAAACCCGATTTCTATCGTTGTAAGCCAGCAGGCATACCGCTATGCCACTAGGGGCTCCTGTGTTACTTTCTTATACCTTCAAACGTGAAATGATGGGATTGTAACCGCGTCTCTATTGTAGAATACTTTGTTTAAAATGATTTTTTTTTATGATTAGTCGAAAGTTCTCTGACTTGCACATACTGCTGCTTTACAATAAGATACCCCAAAGCAATGATTTTCTGTATTTCTAATAAATTAGTAAACACGGTACCCATATTAAATAACCAGTTTGATAATAATTAGTTGTTTTGTTTTATTGGGGGTGGGTGGGTAAGGGAGATCGTGGCGACCTCTCACTTCTAAATTTAGCAGTACATCTCTTTCTGTCAGTCATCATCTTCAAGACAATCGCTTTCCCTGGAAGACCTCTGGCATCTCCTCTCTTTGTTTTCACTCGAAGCATCAACCTCATTTACCTTGCTAAAGATACCTCTTTTAGTTAAAATATTTCTTTTACTGGAAGTTTTGCACTCTTACGATCAGTTAGACACCCTTTCATTCCTTACTATAGACTTCTCATGAATTATTTCCGAAAAACTATTGTGAATATTAGTTTGAATGCCTGATATATATATAGTTATGGCTTGTATGTAGTTTAGAGGACCGGAGGTGACTTAATAAGTAGAATGACTGGACTCCGAATTTGAGGTTTCATGGTCCGCGTTTCATTGCCGCTAAAACGCGCTCTGGTCATGCAATGAGAGTGACTATCAAATCCCACTACTGAGCCAGATAAGAGTATGTCATGAGTTGGCGAGGGCGATGTTAACTAGCTGTCTTTTCTCTGGTCTGTCAATTAAAGATTAAGGGCGACACTGCGCAAATAGCCTTTTTTATAGCTTTGCGTTAAAATTCTAAACCAGACAAAATATAACGTGTGCTATATGCCAAATCTAAGTTACACAATAACAGATCAGTTTTCTATTCAAAACTAAGAGCGATAGTACATTTTTAAACAGAATAATAAATTTATATCGTAAACAATATAATGTATTTGATTGAGTCATAACTAGGTGTGTTACCATAAAATATAAATGTATATGAGGGACTATTTAAATATTAAGCCATTGTGAATAAAGCCTATGACTTACAGGACTCATAGACATTTAATATTTTGTTGAATTTTGAAAAATAGTATACTTTCGTATGATATTTCACTGATGAAAAATAAGTATTCCGTTACAAGCCTTATATAATGACTAAACATTTATATATTATTTGAATATTATGGAATATTTACAATAATATTTATTTTTTTACAGCAAATTTATTTATCTATAATAAAACATTTAATCACAGATTGTTTAAAATTATATTTCCGTCTTACGTTTATGTACTTTTTAAGGCAATTGCTAGTAAAGGCACATTCTGAGAACTCAAACTAACACACGTTCTAATTTTGTACTAACCGTTGCTTCGATAAAATAATACAAGTACTAAAAACATTTTGTAAATGTAAAATGACAGTGCCAAAAAGAATGAAAACAAGAATATAGGGATGATACAGCTGTACCTCGATAAATTACTACATGACTTTCAATATTAAAATTTAATGTTTCACTGTAAAATGCATACTTGACTTTAATATTACTGCAATTGGAAGTTATATATTTCTGACCGTTGGTAATGCAGTTTGTTTATCAAACATCATGACCATATCAGGGTAGGCATCAATGTAGTGTAACTCAGTCTAACGTAAAATGAAAACCAAGTTGAGTCAGAGCATGTCTCGCTACGAGGTCGGTTGAATTGACCGACCTCGTAACCATTTTACAGTGTAACATTAACTTTTAATATTAAAGGTCATGTAGGGATGATCTGTACATAGCTGTATCTTCCCTACATTTTTGTTTGCATTCATTTTGGCACTGCCATCCCTACATTATTTTACATTTACAAAATGTTTTTATTACTTGTTTTGTGACGTTTTTTTTCCCTGACTAAAAGTTAGTGTATTCTATGAATGTGTATAATAAAATTTAATATTATGTATATTGATTTTTTTTTACTCCTTTACTTCATACATAATATAGGGGTTGGCTCCCTAAAGACACTGGTTGTATCATGCACAAAGAATTAAGTATTCTACATGTTACAATCATCTAATACTCATCTATTATTGACTGGTAATTTCTGTTTTACCCTGTACTTAAGCTTTTTAAAGGAACAACAGGTTTCTGTAAGAAAACTAACTTCAAGGAGTAATGATAACATCATTTACACTAGAATTATGATTTTTTAATTACTACTAGTTATTACGACTAAGCGATGACATTGTGCACTGGCCAGAAACGCATAGAGAGGATTTAGTTTTAAATTGAGGTTAGTGATAAAGTAGTTGTAGAGTAACTAGACTGTTTTTAGGCTACTTGGGCAGAGAAACAAATGAAAGTGAGTGTCAGTCATCTTTCAAAGTAAAAATATCTGATTTTAGCGTACATATTTGTATTATGCCTATTGAGTACCTTGGCCATCCTTACACATAAGAGCCTACCGACTCTGTGATACATACGTATGTATCAACCACTACTGTATCTGTCTTATCTCAGCTGGCCTGATTAGCCCTGGTATTGTGCGAAAAACCTAGTTGGTACTAGATATGGCAAATATAGTTTAACGTATTGTTAAAAATTCTTCTATACTTTCACTTTTAAGTTGTTAGAGTATATAGTGCAAAAGCGGGTAGGCTCACTAAAAACAAGCAGTAAAACAGGGACAAATGATAATTATGTTTTGGAATTATAAAAATGTTTCCGTTTTCTTGTGAGTATAATAGTTTGGCTTGCGTGATTGTTCTTACAAATGTTAAGCACATTTTTCATGTGTTCTCAGAACCGGGTCCAGCTTGTTCTAACCCATTTCCTTCCACTGTTTATTTCATGTGTTCTATGATTAAAGTGTTACTATCTAACTTATATAAAAGCCAATGTGTGTCACGTCACGCTTGATTTCTCGAAATAGGAGGACTCATAAAAGTCAAAATGCATTTATCCAAATAGAATAGTTCGGTTACTGCCTGCCCATTACGATTCTAGTGACGGGGGTACAAGAGTACGTGTAAAGTGGTTTCTTAGGTAACAACTTGTAATATATATAAAAGCCAGTGCATTTTAGTAACAATGGGTTCTAACAATGGCTTTTATATCATGTTGCTTAGCAATAAAAGTATATCCTAATATTGTTGTTAATTAAAAGGCTATGTGCTGAATGTATAAAATGAAATGTATAAACTACAAAATCAAATATATATATATATATATATATGTTGTTTGTTTTTTTTAATTTAGAGGTTCCTTTAATTTAAGAGATTTCTTTTCTATTATCTGTTTTTATTATTTAGGTTTAAAATCGAAGGGCAAGAGAGAGAGAGAATGCTACATTTATAAACAGGCCATATCCCATAAAGAAGCAACAAAAGTATATAGGTTATACTTTTATGCTAAAACGGGTTCAGAATACACACACTGATATAGTCATCTAGAATAAATCAACCTAATAACCAGAGCGAAGCCGGGTACTTTCGCTAGTAGTGAACTAAAATAATGGATGGCTCTTCCAATTAATTTTGCTATATTTCTTATAGACAATAACTTAAACATTACTGTGTAAGATATTCTTTTTATTTATGTAACAATGACATTTATATTATATTGTTTTCGTATGTGCCACGATCTTTGTAATAATATGAATGATCATATGCTTGTGTGTTAAAAATATAAATAAACGACCGTAAAACGACCAAAATTTGTTATTTTTCTTTAGTTTGACACTCAACGTTTCGCTTTACAGCTTCTTTAAGAACGTTCCACTAAAACACAAACCGTAACTGAGAGTACAAAGCTTCAAAATGAAGCACAAGAAAATATGTCGTTCTCTTCCATGCCCTCTCCGGCCCCATAGATTACTACTCAAACTTGAAATACGTGGATGATATTTTAATACAACCATTGACTTTCTCGGGTGGTACTAGATCAGCTGAAGTACGTAGAGGCGTTACTAAGCAACGCTTCTATATCTGTGATCACAATACCCTTCGTACTTGTACTAGTGATAGATGGTAATTGATGGTGCAAAGCGACTAGGACGTAGCGTTATTTATTTATAATTATATACATTATTCTGGAGTTGGAGGATTTACTTAAAAACGTTATTCTGTTTATTTTCAAGTAAGTTTCAGTTAAGTCGAAGTAACGGTGTTGAGTGGATTTATACTGTACCCTTTGGCTATAAACAAATAATATTACATTTAACTTTAAGTTTATTACATACATACGCCACTTTTGATGCGTTGATCTAGTTTGAAGCAGAGCGATTGACTTCGACAATTTAAAATTAAACTTTCAAAATAGAAGTTGTAGAGACAAACAACAGTGAAAAGCGGTTGATAATGTATCCTGTTGAAGGGCTGATTTGACCGAAAAGTCTTTGTGATAAATTAAATTTATAATTAGTTTGTGACGTATTTTTTAGCTAGTAACAGTAGTACTTAAATAATATACGCGTCTCCATAGATATTATTAACACGAAGGGTAGATTAGAAAAAATAGGCTGCCCATAAATGTGATTGATGAGATTTGATCTCATTTCTTTATTCATAATAATATTAAGTTATGATGGCTGAAGTTGTTTTCTTTTGAAAAAAAGGAAGAGTTAGAGAGGATCTGATTTAGGTGTTTGAGGTTTTTAAGAGGATGATAGTGTTGATGTATCATTTTTTTTTCATATTTAATGGTAAGAAAGGTAATTAGGCGCCACAAATATAAATTTAGGCAGAGTGGAAGTCATCATAAGCTAAGATAGCTTTAATTTTATAAGGTGTTTGACCTTTGGAATGGGTTGCCTAAAATGTGGTAGATACAGTTAACTTAATTTTAAGGAAATTTAAATGTAGGCTTGATAAATAAGGACTTTGAATGATAAGGGCTGGCTCTGAGTGCTTTATTTTTACTTTGGAGTTTAATATAATTTATGGGACAGCCTAGAACTTAGAAGAACCAACAGGAACTTTATTGTTCTTAAATTATAATGGAAAGTCTGGATGGATTAAAAAAGATCAAATTAGGGATAGTTATGATTTTTTAAAATTAAAGATGATTGGTATATCTTCTTTAAAGAAAATGGCTAATTATTTATGCCACTCAAACCTAACAGCATCTCTAAGAAACAAACTAGTATGTAACACACACAAGAAAAGAACTAATATATTTCTTAATTCTTATATAGCTACAAGTTAGTTTTCTATTTGTTAAACATTTTATCTTATATTTAATTAACTAAGAATTATCAGTTATAATTAGGTTTTACTATTATACTTTTTGATATTAGTTTGTTGTATTACAATTTACAGGCCAGTATGGTTGAGACTGAAGAAGAAAGAGCTTTCAGCACTCCAGAACCTCCAGTAAATGGGAATGCTGACTTGGAGTTTGCTCCTCCATTTATCAGTTCCTCCAATTTTCCTGTGCCTATTAATAAAACATTTCAGCCACAAATTCAACTGTATCCAGTACGATTTCTAGTACTACTTTTATTCGTTTTGTACTCTATGTCTAATGCCTTTCAGTGGATAGAATACTCTATTATTACAAATGTGATTGCTTTCTATTATGATGTGGGTAGCTTCTCCGTAAATTGGACATCTGTGGTATATATGGTAACATATATTCCTCTAATTTTTCCGGCATCTTGGTTATTGGACAAGAAAGGACTACGTTTTGTTGTCGTTATTGGCTCCTTTGGAACCTGTTTAGGTTTGTTGTTGTTTCTTTATGTTGTTTCACGAAGATGTTGTCAAAATTCTATGTTTATTGAAATTATTTAAACTATTAACTTTGATTTTTTCGTTAAGTTTAAATATTACTAGGATGTTGGTATTTTATTTTATATTTCTTAAAAGCTTCTATATGAATAGGTTACTTGCCCAAACCCATAAATATGAAGAAAGAATACTGATGGTATTCTTAGAGATGGTGTTTGGAAATGTGTTTTGTAAACCCAGAAAATAGATTTCTTATTACTGTTAAAAAGGAATATCATTTAGCTTGTAAGTATTTCTCCCAAACTATTTAACATAATCATAATATTTGACAGAAAGTTTATAAAAATATATGACTGCCCATTTCAGGATCTTGGATAAAATGTGCAAGTTTGTCTCCAGATCGTTTCGCTGTCACTATGTTTGGACAGACCATTACAGCAATGTCTCAAGTGTTTATTCTTGGCATTCCTCCTCGATTAGCTGCTGTGTGGTTTGGGGAAAATGAAGTTTCTCGAGCATGTAGTGTTGGTGTTTTTGGAAATCAGGTAGGATTAACATTAACTGCATATCTTATATCTATATACCTTCACATACAGATACTTTTTTCTTTTAATGTAGATAGTGCTTTTCTAAAATTATATATGAGTATCATAGATATAATTCAAAAATTATTTTACCACACTGTCTAATTTAATGGATTTCTTAGTGATCTTGTCTGTTAATCTAATGATAATAATAATCCATCTTGTTTTAACATTTTATTTTGTAAATTTATTCAACAATGTTTATAAATATGAGAAAGTATATATATATTTTTTTAATTTATGTGTTCATTTTAGTACTCTGTTGCTCCTTAGATGGCCAGTTTATTTCTTTATCCACCTAATGTTGGTATGATATTAAAATATTACAAGTTAAATAGAAGAAGACATGGGCATTACATGTTTTAGGCAAATATGGTACTTATGTGACATTTTCTGTCACGTTCAGTTAACCAGGAAGCTAAACTTGAATCTTTATGAATAGAATTTTATTTTAACTTTTAAATCCATCACTGCAGTTGAAACAGTATTATAATTTTTCCTTTTTTTTTTTTGTTAGCAGAGTTCAATTTTCAGATATCATTGTTTATTCATAATTGGAGCTTATTTGATTAGTGTTTTGCATTATCATTCTGATAATTTGGTTAACTTTACTTTGAAAGTAGTTAAACTTTCATGGTGTTTGTAAAGAAAGTAGGATTGATTTATACCTAAAGTATGCTGAGATTATTTTGTAAGTGTATATGCACCCAATAAAATCCTTCAAAATTAATTATTAGACAGCCAACAAGTCTGTCAAGATAATGATATTATTATAGAGTAGTTGATTAAGTTTATAGAGCAATTTGTAGTTATATAATAATTCAGAGCTTCAAAATTTTAGAAGAATAATTTGTTTTGAAGTATATATATATATATATATATATACAAGTTAATAAATATATATATATTTACACTCACTTTCTTTTAGCTTGGAATTGCTCTAGGGTTCTTACTTCCACCTTTTCTTGTACCTATAAGTGATGATAAAGAGAAAGTTGGCTATGACCTTGGAATTTTGTTTTATGGAGTTGCAATCTTTACAACTCTGTTGTTACTAGTTATTTTATTTGGTAAGTATGTAACTTAATCTATCTCTGCAGCTAAAATATTTCATTCAAAAATTTTAAATTTCACTGATTTGTATTTTAATTGACATCATGATTAGACACCAAAAGTATAACTAATAAATAGTTCATAAAAGGTTGAGAAAAAAAATTTATAATAATAATACATTTGTATTGAAGCTACTGGAGCTGGTCAAGCATGTTGGCTGGCAGGTTATTCCAGCATTGACAACCTTTTTATGAAGTAAAATAAACCTAAAACTACTAAGAGGTTATTTTTTACCTAGAAGATCTGTATTTTGTGTATAAGCTTTGATTTACTTCTAACTTTACATTAAGAAGAATATGTTAACAGGAGAATGTGTGTACCAACATTTTGTTACACCAAATAAAACAATACTGTACTTGGTTGGTTGTAAAGTAATATTTGATAGAACATAGTGTAATGTTGACTGTAATTTAATATTTGATAATAGTGTGTATTTACAGACGAAACGGATTTCCCCCAAGAGAGACAATATTTATCCACAGAATAAGAGAAGATTTGACATGATATTTACTGCAAAGTATTTATGAATTCTCTGACTTTGACTGAGTTTCTGAAAGAAAGAGACTGGAACACAGTGTAAAACACACAGTAAAAACAAATCTTTCCTTAACCTCAAAAACACTCAAAGTATATGAGTGCATAGGGCAAAGGACAGGAACTTTACTATATAATTATGCCTCTAAACTTTATTAAAGACTTATAAAGATGTTAAATAAGAATTAATTAACATTACAGGTTAAACTTTAGGAGAGTATTACTTTTACAAAGAAAGGATTTAAATTTCACTTACTAAATTGAGGGCACGAGTTTAAGAGAGAAAGAACAAACTAAGAGATAATAGTATTTTACACTAATTTCTATACTGTTATCTCCTCAGCACACTTGTGCCACATGTCATTATTTGTTAATCCCATTGAAACATGCCTTGAGGCATCATCTAACCTACCACTAGAGGACACTGCTGTCAACATCCTTTCTCAATGTGCAGCATTACAGTCACTCCTCTACCCCCAAGCTAACCAGATGTTACCTCAAGAGAATAATGTAGAATAAAGGCAGCAAGAACAAAATCAACTTAAAAATTTTCTTGATGTTGCATTATGTAAAAATTGCACATACACAGAATAACTGGTAAATTTCAAATAATACTATGTTATATACCACATTTTTCCTCCCTCCCTTACTTCAGGCTTGTTCTCAAGCGAACAATTAGTGCTAACTTTAAACCAATAAAATTTATACATGTGCACTGGTCAAGGAGTACAGTAAGTAACTTTCTTTTACTGATGTAAACACTTATACACAACAGATGTCACAAAGTCGCTTAATAAAGCAATCCATTTGTAATCAAAAATCCTTTTAAAAAAAAAATGCAAGTATACACTGAAAACCTTTTAAATATTATTCAGTAGTATTCTACATACAGAATATATTCTCTTAAAAATAAAACAATTGGCAGGTTACAATCACAAAATTTCTGTAACAAAAAGTTTTGATTGTAATATATAAAAATAAACCATTTAACAAAGACATGATTCAATACATAGTTTAACCTAATACTAAATACAGCAGGAAAATCTCTACTCATATCATCACAAATACATTAGTGCATAGCAAAAAAAAAACCCTTAAAAAATGACAAGCAAAACCCTGTATCGTAAATACAATAATTACATCAACAATTCAGTTTCAAAATGCAAAATAAAACCATCACACCTTACAGCACATGCTAAAATCTGTATGTAATATAACAAAATAAACCCTTCAAAGTTGCATAAAGAAATAACAGAATAACTCTTTAGTAAAAAATCAGTAAATCATAAAACCGTATTAAATAAAACCTCTTTGCAAAAATATAAAAAATGACTAGCAAGCACATGTACTAATAACTCTTAATAAAACAAAACATGAAATTAACACTAAATAAACCCCCATACATTGAAAGAACTAAAACATGTTTAAGTTTACCCTACAGAAAAAAAACACCTTTTAAACTATATGCATATATACAAACAGATCCCAAAATAAAAAACAGAATACAACCAAAATACTTACATGATATATATAAGTGTGTGTATGATTGTTTTAAATGGTAATAATTGTTTTTTTTTATTCTGACAGTAGTTTCACATTGTCTTATAACTGGTTTAGATAATAAAGAATAATCTATGTGTGCTAAGAAATGAAGCACTATTTACACAATTCTAATATTTTAAGTAAATAATTTGCACTGTAATTTGTGGGAATAGGAAACTTAGAGAATGGTTTTTAATGTGAATTACTTGATATAAGAAAACCCATGTAGCTGAATTTGATAATCATCCTTCAAAAGAGTTTCTTTGTTTACCAAGTTAATGTAGCAATTACTTTAGTTTTATGAAAAATTATAATGCTGTGATAGTTTGTGAAACTGCCTTTGTAGTTTGCTGTGTGCTTGGAGCTTAAAGTATTATCCAACTATCGGTATAGTTACTTGGCCTTTTTGGTATCAAATTTGTAATTATCCAACAGACTATGTTTCCTGTTAAGAAAGCTGTCATCTAGAATAAATTAGTAACTACTTGTGTTCTCTAAATCTATATGAATGGCTATTTCCTGTGTGACCATATTACTCAGGAAGTAGCTATGAAGAGATTTAATTAGGAAGTTCAATAAGAAATAGGATACAAGTTAGACAGTTCTTTTTATTACACATTCATACACGTGGGATACCTATCAGGAGGAAATAATAAATTTCTATCTTTTAATTATTCAATTCTAATTAAATATTTTGTGTAGTCAAAGTGTATATATCTCTTTTTTTTTTGGTCCCTGTTCTTGATTGATTATATAGTTTAAATATTGTTTCCAACTTCTATAGAAACTAACTGAAATCATGTTTGTAGTGACCAAACTAAACCTGAAATCACATTTGTAGTAACCAAACTAAATTTATTCTGTTCATTCTCTAAAATGATCTTTATATTTACTATAACTACTATTCATTTCAACTTCATTTTTAGAACTGCTTTAGTATTCAAACTTGTGTTTTTATAGGTGGTGCTAAGTTGCTTTGTGTCAAGATAATTATTGTATTCATCTATTAAATACGTATCAAAATGCAGATAAGTTTCCAGTAAAAGTATACACTATGGTGTAGAAAATAATTATTGTTAAAAGCGTATTGTGTTAGTTTGTTTTGACAAATCTCATTGATTTATATTTTTTGAATATTGGTTCAAAGTTCACAAAATGTTCCACATAATCTAAATTTTTAGGAGTAACTGGAAATCTTAAATCTTATGATAGTACCCTTTTTTTACTTCTGTTAAATAATAATCCAAAAGATTCTAAATACTGTGCAAGACATTTTTTTAGTACTGTAGAGTATGTTTAGTAATCAAATAAACAAAAGCCATCTTGAACTGTAACTACACATAGTTTGCTGCATGGGTTTTTTGCTCCTAGTAATATCCATATTAGTTCTAGTAATCATACTTTCTTGAATGAAAACATGAAGATATATGAACAAATTTGATAAAGCTGAAAGGATAAAAATTCATCCTTACTATCATCTCAGTTTTGTGTTATTCAATTGACCTGTTCATTGTAATTTTTTAATATGAACTAGGAAAAAAGTATTACTTTTAAGTAACATTAACAGACAGATGACCCAAGTATAAACTTTATGTAACTTAGTTAAGAAAAACAACTAAACAGCTTGTACGTTAAGATACTCTTAACTGGCACTGTTGATCAGGCTTTTGCTATATGTAAAACTAACATATCTGGGAGAGTTAAACATTTATGTTTCACTGAGTATGACAGACTACTAAAGTCTCACTTGTTTCTTTTTATATCCATTTTCTTCTCATGAATTTTAACTGTATCAAAGGTAGGGTGAAATAAAGAGTTTGTACTTATTGTTATTTATTATTGGTCTGTCCATAGTTATTTTGAAACTCCAACTTGGGTAAGTGTACTTCTGTAATGATTTGTTTACACTTGGTTTTATTCAGATATGTACAGAAGAAAAACTGTTTAATTAATTGCTGATAAAGAATTTGTTATTACTATGGTTAACATTTTCCAGAACTAACGGTTTTCAGACTTTGATTTTGTACTTCTTTAGAAATGTTTATGCTTTTCAGACAGTCTTATATTTGGTAGAGTTTCTGTGAGAAACTGTGTACTTACTTTTTAAATCACATACTTATTTAATTACTTACTTATTTTTGTAAAACTTGTATGTTTTTTCAATCTTTTATTTAACCGTTAATGTTTTACTTTTGTAGAATACTTGTGATTTCAAGCCATAGCCTACTGTTAGTTCTGGGAAAAGGTGGTAGCCTGAAATATTAACTACAGTTATGTAATAACTTCTACCAGAGGATCTGTGAAAAGTATTCAATAAGAAAAACATAATAATAATAATAATTAATCTTAATTATGAATGACAGGCAAACCATAATAGCCTCTATGACCACTCTGACTTAGTTTATCAATAAGGTAGCATTGCTGTTAGTGGTGTTTTTGGCCATTATCCCAAGAATAACTGTCAAGGTTGGGCCTCCATAGCAAATTACTAAGCGCTGAAGCAGAATTATCACATATAAGGCTTCATGTACCATTTGGCCAATGTAGTTATTACGATCTAACAAATTTAATTTTATATATTAAATCTACCTGTTACTATAAATAACTACCATACAAATTGAATTAATTAAATTTAATGCTGTGAATTAGATAAACAAATATAAACTTATGTCTTATTTAGCATGTGAAAAGTTTCAACTAAATGTCCTCAGAATAGTAGCACAGCCTGCATGTATATGACCTCTTGTGATTACTGGACAAGTCCCACATGTTTTAATTCACTAATGTATTTAAGGTGACCTTGCTGAACAGAGTCTGACTAATGATCAGACTTGAAAGGGAGCTTTTGAAGAGAATAAATGGTCACTAATTCTTAAAGCAGAAAGATAATTTAAGAAAGGTTAGCCTAAAACTTGAGAAGAGTTAGAGATAACATACATAGTTTTACATCTTTATGATGTGATAAATAATTTAGACTTGTATTAGAATAGTGGGGCAAAAATTACTATACAGTTATTTTATTTTAAACAAAATTTAATTTGTAACTATTACTCTGAAACAAACGATTAGATTGGTTTTAGATGTCTCTGTAATATTTTCTTTTAAACCAACTGCAAAGTGACATTTGCCCTACCCAGTTTAATACTAAAATCATTTTTTATCAGCAATATTTCTTTTGTATGGGTTTTTATTGGTGAAGCATTCCTTGTCAACTGTTGAACTCTAAGTCTATTCAGATATGTTCCATCCTGGTATTTATGTAATGTGCTAATCCTGTGTTAAACCTTTTTGTACAAGGGTTTTACAACACATAATGTTGATGTATCTGACTAAGTACATATACATGTATTGTTAATATATATATATGGTTCATACTTCAAGTGAAATCCAACATGTGCCACAAAGGTTTCTTCTTTGTAGCTAGCTATTCTATTGTTCTACTTTTCTGTTTTGAAATCTATTTCATTACATGTCAAAGTGTAAAGATGTACAGAGTAGAAGGTATCAGTAATGAGCATGCTTCACCAGGTTAAATTACCATCACATGTTCTTAATAAATGTAAATAAGTTTATGAGGAAAACATGCAAATGCACTCAGCACTTGCCTTGACAGCTGGTGTTGTTACGTGTATCGTTGTAATATTTATTTTAATTTTATTCTAAATTTTTTTGGCTTTTAGACTTTGATCAGATGTAAATCTTGTATTAATATATGTAAAGTAATAAACCTAGTTAGACTATTTGTAATGTAATTCTATAAGGAGTACATGAATGTATGATGAAATGGAGCAAAATGCTGCATTTTTGTACTTTCGTTTTATTTTGTACTTCCTTAGGGATATTTGTGCTTTTCAGACAATATTTTATTTAGTGAATTTTATATAAGAAATTATGTAATTTCTGAACAAAATTCTTATTTATTTGCTTCGTTGTTTTTGTAAAACTTGCATTTTTTTAAAATCTTTTATATAATCATTAATGTTTTGATTTTATAGAACATTTATGCTTTCAAGACATGTCTTACCATTATTTTCTAAATCACCTGGTATTTTTTTTTTCAAATGCATGCTTTCCAGTTAGTATTTGTATATAGCAATTGTTCTCTATGTTCTTGTTATGTAAAATAAACTTATTTTTCTGTTGTAGTTTATTGTTTTTGCTAAACTGGTGTGCATTTTCTTATTCTTTTCTACTGTTTTAATAATATTTTCTTAATTTTTCTGAACTATTATATATTTTGTAAGCATCTTTCCTGTTTTGTTGTTCTTCTAAAGTAGTGGCACTGGAATGTACTTTAAGATACTATAAAGTTAAGTTAATTGTATTTGAATTTAATATCATGTTCAGTTAAGTGCTGAGATATCACTGAATTATTTTAATAAATAAGTCTACTTATCTAAGTGTTACAAGCAGTAGTATTTGTTTCCATTATTTATCTACATTCTAATAATGATTAGTTAACTGTGTCTGCAATGTTCGTGAAAGGAAATTATATTCTAAACATTAAATGTTGGTCAGACTGATATGCAGTTTTTTGTATATGTATATGCATTAGCTTAATATTACCATCTGACATAAAGTTGATAACTATACTTATCCAAACTGCTTTTTAGAGTATTCAATAACAGGAATTTGTTGAGTTACATTTTAAAGCAAGCATTTATAGAACTTTGAAGAGGTGTATCTTACAGTTATCAATAACAGGACTTTGCTGTGACACATCATAAAGTAATTTAAACCAGAACTTGGATGAGATGCATCTTAAAGTTTTTAATGAACTGACTTAGCTGAGTTACTTAAAGTGATCAGTAACAGGATTTTACTTAGTACTTAGCTGAGGTTTATTTTAGATTTTTAATAAGAGTTTGTAGCGAAGTTGCATCCTGATCTTTTATTTTTTTCAAGCTTTCAAGGATAAACCATGTCATCCACCAAGTGTAGCGCAAGCCTTATCAAGCAATCAAGAAGAAAACTACTGGCATTCAGTTCTGCGGCTGGTGAAGAACATAAACTATATTATCTTACTGGTTACTTATGGTAGGTTTAGAACTGTGTAGGAACTATTGACCTTCAGTTCTGCAGCTGGTGAAGAAATAAACTATATTATCTTACTGGTTACTTATGGTAGGTTTAGAACTGTGTCGGAACTACTGGCCTTCAATTCTGTGGCTGGTGAAGAAAATAAACTATATTATTTTACTGGTTACTTATGGTAGGTTTAGAACTGTGTAGGAACTATTGACCTTCAGTTCTGCAGCTGGTGAAGAAATTAAACTATATTATCTTACTGGTTACTTATGGTAGGTTAAGAACTGTGTCGGAACTACTGGCCTTCAATTCTGTGGCTGTGAAGAAAATAAACTATATTATTTTACTGGTTACTTATGGTAGGTTTAGAACTGTGTAGGCGTAAGTTATCTTATCTTGTTGGTTACTTCCACTAAGTTTAGAATTGTGAAGAACCTAAATTATGTCGCCTTGTTGGATAGTCAACATGATTTCAGTAGGGAAATATCTTGCCTTACTAATTTTTGATATTCTTTGAATAGCTTACTGATTATGTGGATGAGGTTAAGGGTGTGGATTTGTTGTATCTGGAAAAAGGAAAAAAGGTATTGTAATGGGCAGTGCCCTTAGGGCAAATTGTTGGAGTTTCAATTATACTGCCGGTTACACCAAATTTATTTAGTTGAGGATTTGCAGTGGTGAGTGGAGCTCACAAGTCGCTAACTCGAGGTACTTTACAGTTAGAATAGAGAAATAGAGTCCAAGACTAATACTGAGCAAATTATAACAACATTTATTAGATTTTTCCACATTACATACAATATTAGTGCAAGTTTATTAATCATCAACTTCTCATAACTTTTTACTGTTAACTTCTAATCCATTTTAATAACTAATACATATAGAATGCATTTCTTTAATACAAATATGAATAATCTTTACTGTTAACTACATTACTTGAAGCTTGAGAGTCAGAAATTCTACTTATAACATAGAGGAGGTGTGAGGAGATTTTGGAGACTTGAATAGCTCAGAAAAGACATGACTTTCTGTCTTCACATGAGTTTTTAAGCAACTTTTCTTTGTGTTCCTACAAATTACCAAATAGTATGCAGAACTACCCACAAGTAGTTCTCACACCTTATTGGCAGGTTAAGGACAGGTTTAGATCTGTGAAATTGCTTACTCTTGAGAAAAGAATTAGAGTGTTTCTAATTGAAGTCTATAAGGGAATTAGTAGTGTCAGTGCATCATCTTTTTTTTGTATTTGATGGTAAGAATGGTAGGAATAGGAAACAGAAATATTAATTTTAGCAGGGTAGGAGTCATCTTCAACTAAAACAGTTTTATTTTTTTAACAGGTGGTTGTTCTTGAAATGGATTGCCCTCAGATGTGGTTGAAGTAGTAAATTGAAGGCAGTTTAAGAAAAGACTTGATAAACAGTTGAATGATAAGGGCTGGTTTTGAGTTTATATGTATATATATATATATATATATATATATATAATATTATTTGTAGTATATTTTTGTTATTAGTTAGTTTAGGTTTAGTTAGTAGTATAATAAGTAAAGTTTAGTTTTGTCGTCTTACTACCGTATTA